TTAGCTATAAGAGCCTTTTTTTTTTTCTTTTTTTTCTTGTTATAGAATACTTTGATATTAAGGGTTGAACTTACAGTTGGTTACCATTTACTTATAGTTAATGATTTGTGAGAGCAATTATGCAGATGTCAATCTTTCCAAGTTCCGAGCAAATTGCGGTACCCGTGCATTGCGGTGGAACAATGTTCTTCCTCTTGGGCCATTCTAAACAATTACACAATATTAAAAGTAGGTGCACATATTTTCACTTAGATTTTATAATAAATTGTCAATGTTTATTATTTTTAATACTAATAATTATTACTAAGAACAAATTGGAAAGAATGTATATAAGCATATCTTAATTTTTTAGAAATAATAATTATTTTAGTAAAAATGACCCGGAGAGAGCATATTTCTCCATCTCAAATATTTTTACTTGTTTTTTATTTTTATTTTTTTACCCATCATCCTTAGGAGCTTCCACCCCTTTTGCTCTCTTGGTGACTCGAACTCGCAAGCTTCGGGTTGAAAGTGAGGGGTGTTTATCATCAATTTTATTTTAGGGAAAAAGGACAAACATGCCCTCGAATTATCGTAAATGGTATGTCAATACACTCCGTTATACTTTAAAGTTGTATTTACCCTTATCGTCAATATTTTAGGTTGTGTATACCCTTGAGACTAACGGCTGGACACGTGGCTACATCTCAATAATTTACCTAATATTTATTATTTTTTTATCCGAAATTAAAAAAAAAACCACCCATCCTCCCTAACCCATCCATAACCCGAATTAAAACCCATCTTTCATAACAATTCCCTTCAAACAATGCTAATTGTTCATCTTCTTCTCTTCTATAATTCTCAAAAAATTGTTGCACAAATAAAAAATTTCACTAACACTAGCCATTTTTTTGTGTTTTAGAGTTCATGGATGATTGTGCACAAAACCATCAAGTTAATTTTGTGATTGGCCACCGCCGCAGTCGCCGCCTTCTTCTCCGAAGTTCACACACAAACATTTGAATCATTAGAAATGTGATTCGTTGCGTTTCTCTTGATGAAATGCAGTGATTTTTTGTGGGTTGTGTCCGCCTTGGAGAGGCGCCCAGCTTGGCATTGACCTTGCTCCGTTAAAAGCGCCGGGAAACTGTCGTCGACGACCAATAGTGGTCTGCCGAAGTTCAAGCCGTTTGAATAAACCGAAATTTCTTGATATAGAAGATAATAGGGTGGGAAATCCAGGGGTATTTCTTAATTTAAGTTAGGATTGGAGTTTCCAGACATGTGAGTAGTGCAAAGCATTTGAAAAATACTGCCAAATGAGTAAAACCTTGTGCATAGCTCATTTCCTTCTCGACCTTAGCCTGCATTTCGCGAAGAGCACTTGCTTCATATTCTCTAACTCCTTAGCATTAGGGTCATCCTCAGATTGATTGTCCTGGTGCTCCATCTCCCCTCTCTCTCTAACTGTATTATAACACAAGTGTTCCCTCGCGGCGGAGTAGGGCCAGAGATGGCGGGCTATTCAAATTATTTCAAAAAAGATTTCGGGTGGGTTTAAAATAGAAATGAGGCGTCTTTTTTTAATTTTGGGTAAAAATAAATAAAAATTGGGTTAGTCGTTGAGATGAAGCCACGTGTTCAGCCGTTAGTCGCAAGGGTATACACAATCCAAAATATTGACGGTAAGGATATATGCAACCTTAAAGTATAACGAAGGGTATTGACATATCATTTATGATAGTTTAGGATCATATTTGTCTTTTTTCCCTTTCTATTATCTTATTGCTCATATCCATATTTACGTTACTGCTTTTGGCTCTACATTAATTCAATTCGCCCATGCAAATTGCAAATCCCACCTTTGACAAGTAAAATACTCTTATTTAAGGCGATTTTATTAGTATCAAAATTCGAATCACATACTCTTCTAATTAGAATTGAAAATATACTTTTCATTTCGTTTATACCATAATCTCTACTAGCTAATTATATATATTAAAATATAGGGGCGGATTTAGGTGCCGAAGAGTGTTCACCGAATATCCTCGCTAAAGAATTACACTATTATCTAAGATAATATTTTTACTTTTAATGTACGTATGTATTTTGAATCACTTGAATACAAGAGTTTAGAGGTTGATTTAGTAGTTTAGGCAGAGTTACTATATTTTTATTTTCTAAATTAGATGGTAGATATATAATTAATCATGTCACTGTATAGTATTGGGATAGATCATAGATGTGTGAATATTCTGGATCTGCATGTACATGATACATTTTTTCCTTCTTCCAAGAAATAAGTTTATTCATATAAAATTTTCTCTCAATCAATTAATTAATTCAAGTATTTTGTTTCTCATATGATAATAAATTTAGTGTAATTATATAGTCTATATATAATACACATATATACATATAACATATATAATGTATGACATTATTCATGCATCTAGAAGACCGTTCTATATATAATAATACTACCAAAAAGCAAAGTGTAATCTACATACTTACACTTATATAGACTAAATTATTGGTTTTAGAATGTGAAAAGTGTTGCATGTTGCATGTTCCATGTTCCCATTGAAAACAATAACGTTTTTAAAGTAAATCAACAAGTGTCCAAGGGTAAGGACTTAAGGACAATAATATCCGTAAGTTATGGTACACTATTTATCGCCTGACAATGAAAATAAAAATCCATCATGTGAAGATAAAATAGAAAAATAAGTAATCATCAATCTCTTACAAAGAGCCCCCCATGTGGGATTTGACAGACCATGTGCCCAAGTGTACAATATTATTGATTTTTTTTTGTCACCAACAATGTAGGTGTCCCAAAAAACATTTATTGCTGGTTTGAGCATTGTAATAAAGACATTCCTAGCTACCTTAAGTACAAATTTACGATAACATGTGGAGGGGTGTGGTGTACATGCTCAAGTGTAAGGGTTTCTCCTTTTCTTTAAGTAAGCGTTTGGATATGTGTTTTATTTCATAATTTCATATCACGATGAGATGAAATTTTAAATTCTTCAAAAATATAATTAGAAGATTTTAAATCATGATTTGAAAATTTTCAAATATAATAATTAACCCACAAATTGGAGAAATTTTCGCCCGTTTTCCTTGTTTCAGACAATTGTTTAGATTTAATAAATGAAACTCATTTTTTTTTATCTTTTAAACAACATGGTAGAAGTCTCTTTGAGCGAATTAAATTTTCCACGAGAAGATATTAGATTATAATCTAAGATTCTGTAGATCTTAGTCGATAATATAATGTTTAGTCTGTACAACACGAGTTATACTACATAATTTACTAAGAATAGGCATAAAATCCAAACGATATTAAAAAACGGGTCATTTGCGTAATTTTTATTATTAGTAAATAGTAACCATGGTTTGATATTGATACTTGAAAAGTTAAAACATAAAATTGACAGAATGATTTGTAGAAATATGATCATTTAGTGGTCAGTATTTATTCATTTTTCCAATTTAAGGAATTTGAGCTAAAATGGTCTTGATATTGAACCACGGAGGAATGAAAAATCATGCTTCAACAAGTTAGGACGAATATGTCATAACTTTAGTATAATATTTATTCTTCTATCATGTTAAATTATTCATAATTTTTTCTAAATTGATTGAACATGTATGCGTTCAATTATTTACAAGTTGTGAGGGGTGTCTCGTAACTTTGACACTAGTATATATACTATCTTTATTTTCATATATTGTTAAATTATTTACAAGTCTTGGCGGATTTGCAAAAAATTGCTTCCGTTAATTTTTTTCACAAAATATAATGCGCTCATCATATATTTAGTACAATTTTCATTCTCATATCTTATTAAATTGTTCTCTTTGACACGGACAAAGTGTATAACTATTTGTATAGTTTTGCGTATACATGTAAATATTTGTTGTGCAAACTTTCACAATTGGTTAGGATATGGACTCAATTGGTTCTAAGGCTAAAGTTTTGGATCTTTACACTACATTGGGCTGTATTGTTTTCGGATCTGAGTTGGGCTTCCCTATTACATTGGGAATTTTACATATATATTTTCTTCATTTAAAAAAAAAATGACATAGTTTGACTTGACACAAAGTTAAATAAAATAAAGAAAACTTTTCAATTTTGTGGTTTTAAATTAAAGTTATGTCAAATGTACCAAAATACTCTTTACATTTGTGGCCTTAAAATATCACGTGAAAAATTGAAATTAAAATATAGCCAAAAAAGGAAAGTGATCATTCCTTTTAAAACAGATTAAAAAGATAAGAAGGTTATTCTTTCTTAAACGGAGGGAGTACATCATATTTACTATTCATAACTCTACTTTATTCTCTCGTCTCTTCTCTCCGGTTGCCTCTCGCCTTTTTTGTTCTAATTTTTTTGTATGTTAGATTTTATTTATGTATTTTGAAAGAGAATATTTTTGACAAACTTTTGTATTTCTGTCATTTTTTGTTTTAATTTTTCACCTCAAAACTTTTTGCAGATCTTTGTTGTATTTTTGTATTTCACTTATATTTTCATAACATGAAGGTGAGATTTCTCGGCAATCACTGTATTTTTACGCTTTGTCTTGATGATATAATGTATTTTTGTTGTTTGTATCACTGTACACATGACTTTTGTTTTTCACCTTTAGTGTACCAAGCAAAATTAAGTAAACGCATATAACCTATCGTGATTGTATCCATCAAAATTGATACTACAAGTGATACAAACTAATAACAATTGATACAATAAAGTGAATGGATACAAATAATACATGAGCGAATGAATATCTAGATTTTTTTCAAAACTTTCATCATAATTAAAAGATAAAAAGTTTCTAATAAGATAATTTACCCATCAATATAATTTAAATAATGAAATAAATAATTACGATATTTTTAACCAAATACAAAATAAAATTTTATCTGTCAAACCACCCCTTATTATGTTCGCACCAAAACTGAGGATTAAATTACACCGTTCGGCTGAGCTTCTTGGTGGTTAAAGTCGGTTAGGGATTAATTAATTACTTACACGCAAAGACGCAACGAAATCCTCTTCTCCAAGGTAAATGTTTTGACTAATAGGAATAGTAGAATGAGATAAACCTAAATTTTGTTGAATTTTTCATTTACAAATACCGAAATTGGACTCAGAGGAGATAACTCCATGAAATCGGCAACGGCGATGGAGGAGGAAAAAGATAAAATGGTGGTAGCAGGGTTAATTGATAAAGCCACCAACTCCACTAGACCGGAAGTGGAGCCCCGACTTCTCAAATCCATCAAATCGGTGGTCCGTTCCTCTGATTCCGAGCTACGACTTGCTGCGCAAACCCTAATTTCCCTTATGAAACGTGACCACTCTCAGGTTCGTTGACCCCTAATCCTTCTAAACCCTAATTTAATCTTTTAACACAGATTATTTAGTATTGGTGATTGGTTTTCTTTCTTAACTAGAAAGGATGTTGTAATTTTGGGCTTTCCAAAGTCTCTATCTTAGATGCTATGGTAAGTAAGAATCTGCACCTTTTTCTTGTTATGGTAATTAAGCTAGCAGCTTACTCCAAGTCTTTTTTTGGTTTGGTATTCAGTTTGGTCAGACACCTATATGTTAGCGATGATAAGTGTAGGATTTGGAGAGCAAAGTGTGTGGCGTAAGTGATAAGTGTAGGATGTAGAGAATGTCTAGTTTTAGAGAAACTTTAATTTGATTTGAAGGACAATTTAGTTACCAGTTTTGAAAGAAATAGGTCTGAAAAGAGAAGACTGTATATAGAGAATTTACATAAGCCAAAGCAAACTAGTTTGGATCGAGGTTTAGTTGATTGATTAGGACAAATGCGTAGCTGAATATTTTCAGTTATTGATTCAGCTAAAATTTTATCAGTTCTATTGGTTGCCAGAAAAATAAGACATTTTTCACCGCAAATCAATAGAGCAGGACTTCTCAATTGAAGACCATAGAAATTTTGAATTTCATACCAACTGATGTTTTAACATTCATTGCTGACACATACTCTGTCAATGGTTTCTATGTGCAAGTGAATGCATTGAAGATTTTTCATGTTGGATTTAAAATAAGATACAGAATTATTGCAGAGGGTTTGAGTGATTTTTATGGGAACTAAGTGAGGACATCGTTATAAATCCAGTGGAATGATTATTTTGGTCATTGATAGAAATGTTAGTTTAGTTGTACTTTGACGGGAGAACTCATTTTGATCTTTAGATGAAAACTGGTTCATGATATAGTCCTTCATCATACTTGGTTTTATGGTTTTGGTTGGGAATAGCCAGGACGATGTCCAATTTCCTGGTGTAATCTTTATTCGTTTTTGTACTTGTCATTAATACTTGCAGCTCAAACATTTAGCCACTTAATTATCCAAGGTAAAAGGTTTTCTCTTAAGAAGCATATTAAAGTCCGAGATGAGATATAATGAACGATGCTGTAGTACATTGGTGATTTCTTTTCAAGAAAACTTTAGTAGAATTTGAGTGGGAGCATTTACCTAGATGATTTTTCTAGTAAGTGGTGTGTATGACATTCAATTATGTAATCAATTCCTCCAAGAGAGTATAGTGCATGGTTTCTCTCCAGTTATGGTCTAGGATATTTTCCTGATTTACTAACTATTTCTTGTGATAGGATTAAAAATCGGTGCTAAGCTACATTCATCCCATCATGTATAGAAATAAATTGACATATTTGTGCATCGTCTCCTGATAGTAACTTGTTTTATGGGTTTCTCTTGACAGGTACGATATCTCGCTCTTCTCATAATAGATGAACTCTTCATGCGCTCAAAGCTTTTTAGAACTATTGTTGTCGAGAACTTGGATCAGTTACTCACATTAAGTGTTGGGTTCAGAAGGAATCTGCCGCTTCCACCTCCTGCCTCTGTTGCTTCTGTATTACGCCCCAAAGCAATTGAGTTCTTAGAGAAGTGGAATTCTTCATTTGGTATTCATTATAGGCAGCTCAGGCTGGGGTATGACTATTTGAAGAACACCCTCCGCTTTCAATTTCCAAACTTGCAAGCAAATGCAGCTAGGATTCGGCAGGAAAGGAGGGAAAGAGAGATGAGGACAAAGGAGATCCTGCTGAAGAAGTTTGAAACCTTGAAGGAGAACCTTGCTTCTATAAAAGATGAAATTCAGTCAACAGTTGATGAAATTGGTGAGTGTTTGAACATTTTAAGCACAAAGGATGAAGAAGATATATTGTTGCCTTCTTTAGATGATGAAGATATTGTGGAGTTCCGCAACTCTGAACTCCGACAAATCCGTCTTGATTCCTTGAAGGAGGGGGAAAAGATTAAAGTTGACAGTGAGAATGAAGTTGTATTTGATGCATTGAGGGAACTATTCAAGGTTCTAATAACAAACCATATGGTCACAGTGCAAGAATGGATCTCTGTTCTCATAAGAGTGGAAACAACAGACACTAGGTTCAGGGACTCCACATTAAAGGATTTTATTGATATTCGTAATCATCTCAAATCAGTGAAGAAAAAATGTGAAGAATCTGGTTGTACTCTGCCTAAAACTAGAAGTGCTGAGGATGAAGACATATGGGAAGAGGGTAATGTGGAACCAGAAAATGGAAAATCGTTTAAAATGCCTGACCAAGGTGAGGATTGTTCCTTGAATCTGAATTTTAATGGAATGAGAGTTGATGCTCCTGAATGTAGTAATCTTAGTCTTAAGGGAAAGGAGAAGTTGCAGGAGGCCAATGGTGGCAGTGAAACTGACACCTCTAGAGGCAAGCTTTTAGCTGAAGCTCCCATTATGAAGTGGGGTTCTTTCCTGGATGATTGGGGATCAAGGAGCAGGGATGTTTTGGCGAACCAAAGAGGATTAGATCTTGACGGCCACTGGGGTAGAGTGGACCATGATGCGGTGATTCCTGCTGAAAAAATTGCAGAATTAAAAGTCCATGCAACTGTTTATAGGGAAGACCCCGTTGAAATCCAACCATGTCGAGCCCCTTTGCGAAATGGAGAACTTTGTCAGAGGAGAGATTTGAAAATTTGTCCATTTCATGGACCTATTATTCCTCGAGATGACGAAGGCAAACCAATTGATACAGGCTCATCAATAGAAGATCAGGCTACACAGTTGGTGGATCAGCAAGAGCCCATCAATGCATGCCCTTCAGTAGCGGAGAAAATACATGATTTGGATGATAAACTTGTGGAAAAATTAGCCAAGCAGGCTGTAAAAAATGTCCGACAAAGAGATAGAGAGGAGACAAAGAAGAGAGAGCAGGACAAACAGATTATGAAGCGGGCAAAGCTTGCAAAAGTTCGAGAACATAATCAAGAAGTTCTACGTGATGCTGCACTGGCATCCACCTCAGGATCCTTACATGCTGGAGAAGATCAGGATAGATCGTCTTTATCTAAATCTTCGTCCACGAGTAAGAAAGAAACTCTGGCATCTATGTTAAAGAAGAAAGAAACTGCCAAAGATAGATTGGGTCAAAGGCTTCTTAATGCCCGTGCTAGAGATGCTACAGTGCGACAGTTAACAGTGGCTGAGGATTCAAATTACCGTGAAGCCTTTCCAAATCAGTGGTAAGTTAATGACTCAACACTACATTTTTCCGCTCGTAGGTTCTTGACATTGTTCCGGGTGTTGTATTTGTTTGTAATATAAGGTTGCTGCTGGTGGTTCAAAACATTCTTTTTCTTGTTCTGTCCCACATCTGCTTAGTTTTTAGGTTGTCAAGTTGTAAATTTTTACAATATACATTGGAACTTACATTCCCAATAAACGAGGAGAAGTTTTGTCAATCACTATAGTTTTACAGCATTGCATATGTTATTCTTCTTAACCTTAACTTGTCATATATAGAAAAGAAAAATCTGCAGTATTGCTGGAGGAAAGAATTTTCAGGTTACCATGTTCTTGGATATACAGCCAGTCAGACTGAACTTCCAAAGCAGTAAAGGATATGGATGATGTGATTCGGTGTCTGATGATACTGTACAACTTCCTAGACAAAACATATTAGTAACTTTTTATAGATTGATTGTTGTTTCCTCTCTCGTGGTCATGGCATTTAGAGAAATCAGTTTTGACACTGACCATTTTGTTCTTTTAACCTAGGTGTCCGGGTTAACTTGCATGCATTTAATGTGACTAATTTGACTGGATACTTGTTGATTCTTCACACCAGCACATGTAGTGTTCAACTGTCCACCAATGATTCTATCCCTGACCATTCTTATGTTCCAAAACCAACTTATATCTCAAGTAATTTTTCTGAACTCATGAACTGATATCACATGTGCCAGCACATGTTTAAACTAAGGGTGCATGAACCTCAAATGCAAAAGTCAGGGATTGATGTAAGAAAAAAAGAGAGTTGTAATTATTATTATTATTATTGAATAAGATTGCAACAACTATGCAGAGGCAACTACCAACTAAAAATAAGCTGTCAAATGGAAATATGCACAAAAGTTGGTACTTATCTTATCCTGTATGTCACTATGCTTTTTAATTCTTCTCCTAAGGCTAAGAATGAAAGCTAGATTCTCCCTCCATTAATATTCCACCCTATATTCTGATTTTTGACATCAGAAAAGCAGAGTAGATATATCAAGAGATTCGAACAACAAATACTCGATGAAATAATTTTAACATAGCAAGTAATTGATCCACCCAAACGTACTCGGACATGACTTTTTTTTTTTTTTCTAAACAAGGCTTGCCTTAAGACATTGAACTGACCTAGGGGCTCCACTCATTTAAATTTTAAGCAGTGGAAGGATCTCGTACATCGTGAAACACACAAAATTCAATTGTGAAACTTCCTAAATTTAAACAAAAACAAAAAGTATATGTTGTATTTGACACTAGTGAGTTATTACATGGTTCCCCTTTTCCAACGCATGATGGGTTTATTCTTTTCTTTATTGAGCCAATAAGTGCAGTGAAAAAGTCAAATGCCAAATAGAGTAATACAAAAATGAAAAAGAAAAGAAGCCAAGATGCTACTATTTGCTAGTGGTTCATCCACTTTAAGTAGCGTTTAACCCAAGTCTTGCTTTTATTCCACTAATTACAAAACTTATTTTCAATACTTTGTGGAACCCCATGTTTTTTAATTGGAGTAGAATACTTAAATTTGATTTCTAATTTTATTACATAAGTAAAATCTCACCGGTAGAGATTATTTGTACTAAATAGATCGCTTGTTCATAAAGCTAATCAAATACACATTATGTTTGGCGAAATTGACTAAATGAAACTTACCAACTCTACTAAGTGCCAGTAAAAGATAGAAGGCACAATTTTTCAATTGGGTTAATTAAATCTTGATATTGACTTACATGTGCTTATCATGTTTAATTTAATAACATGAAATAAGTTGAGTTATCTTATCTATCTTAGAGTTGAAAAAAGGAAAAAATTATAACTTCTCAGCTACTAACATCCATATTCGGCAAATTAAAAATATAATCTATCTAAAACCTTACCGATTTAACCTAACAAATGAAAACAAACACAAATCTATATATATAAAACAAAGCTAAATACTGAAAAATTTAAGAGTTTTGATAAACGTAATAATAATATATAATTAATTAAACCGTCTTTATTTTTATCTAGATAAATGATACATTGTATTTGAATATATTAAAACAGAAGGAATGTCATCACAAATTCATCTTAGTGTGAGGGAATAGAACAACAAATGATAAGTTAATATTTTAAGCTTGAATTAGACTAAAGATAGATCATTGATATAATGTAGTTAAACTAATTAAAAATATAATTAATTAATTGATAAAAATAAAAAAATGAAAAAGGGAAAAAGCACCGTCCTTTTTCCACCTTCCCCAAAGACAAATTCCAAACCCTCCTCCCCACCATCCCGCTCCTCTGTTTTCCTCTTTTTGAAAATCAAACAATTGTTTATAGTATAGAGACCCCCCACCCCCACCCACTCCCCATGAAAACCCCTCAATAATTCCACAAAATTTACTCAAAAGAGGATTTGTTTTCATCAGTTCTTGATTTTGATTGAATCAAGAATTGAATATATTTTTGTTTCATGAATGGAGTTTGATAGCATTGAATGTGTATCATCTTCTGATGGTATAGAGGAAGATGAGATTCCACAACTTCATCCACATATCATTCGTTCTCAGTTTTCGTCCTCAAAGACGACGACCCACAAGAACAACAACAACAACAACGGAAGCAGTATCTTGTGTGATGGAAATAATGGGGGAATTGCAATTCATCCAGCGACTAGCGTTCATGAGCTTCTTGAATGCCCTGTTTGTACCAATTCTATGTACCCTCCAATCCATCAGGTTCGACCCTTTCCCCCCCGAAAATGTTCTGAATTGAGTGAGGGGTTTTGGTAAATTTGTTTACTTTTTGATGAATTAAGAAGTTTTGGTAAGTTATGTTTCAGATTTTGCAATTTTGGGTTTTGGGTTTTCCCAATTCGTTTGATGGGTTTTTTTGAGGCAAGATTGAATTTTCTTTGGTCAATTGATGTTCCAAATGGTGCAATTCTGAATTTTGGGTTTCTCTAATCTGTTTGATGGGTTGGGTTGATTGAGGAAATATTGATTTTTGTTTCTTGGATTTTGATATATATATTCTCTAATTTTCCTAAATATTTTTCTGTAACTAAGGGTTATTTTTTAAGCTATCTATGTGGGAAAATTTATGGAGATAGATTTTCATGAACATGTGTTTATGGAATGATTGTTTTATCAAGATCTTTTTCCTTAAGAAAACGTTCATTTGTTTTCTGTGACCATATGTTCTCTTCTAATTTTTAAAATATTTTTTCTGTTGGGTAGATAGGCTGAGAGTTGGTAAATGTGGTAATTTTTTTGTGGTTAGTGAATGAATTAGATTTGGGGAGTTTCTTTCTAGTCTTAGGAGCTTGAGACATTACAATGGGTCTCATGAGTTTGTTTTGCATGGTATTCTTGTCCATTTGGAGTTGTTGAATAGCGGGAGAAGTCTACTGAGGTGGTTTAGGAAGAAGGCATCAACCAATAATCCAGAAATTTGGACTTGTCGTGAAGAATCCACAACTTCGGCTCATTGAGTCATCCTGCTGGTTTTTAATCACTTCACTAGGTAGTTTAGGAAGGACATCAAGCAATAATCCGGAAATTTTGACTTTTTGTAAAGAATCAACAACTTTGGCTTATTGGGTCATCCTGCTAGTTTTTAATCCCCTGCTTCATGTTTAAATATTTCTACGATAGATTGTGTTTTTTATAGGTTATTTTTACAAAATCTTGTCTATTTGTATCTTCCTGGATTGTGCTATAAAAGTTCAACTTCAGTGGCTAATGGGAGCAATTGCATACTCAAATTGTATACATATTAAAGAAGTAGGTCATAAGAAGACTTCTTTATGTCCTCAGAATAGGAAATTAGGGAACACCAATTATGTATTCTGTTAAAAGGTAGCTGGGAAAGAAAATTAGGATGTTGCTTTGAGGAGTGTTTGCGCTTTAATAAAATGTGATGTGTGTTGCCTTGTTTCCTTTCTTAGTAAAGGCATCATTGAGGGATTTTACCTCTCCAATTACTGGTTGAGCAGCTAGTATTTTATCTTTCATATGGGTTGTGTTCAGTTAAATCAAGTTTCAAAAGTAATTACGTTCCAACAGCTTCCTAGATTTAATGGAAGTGTATGCACTGAAAAGTTTACATTTTTTGTAGGGTTGCAAATTCTCAGCTCTCTGATTGTAGTAGGGTAAATCCTCTTGTCAGCACCTGAGTATAGCCCATGGAATCAGAGTGGGGAGTATAAGCCAACGATTTAGAATCAAGACCACCATCCATATTTTAAAAAGCATCTGTGTTTAATAGGCTATTGCATTTTTAGTATTTTAATTTATCGTGACCTAGAGGTATCCTCAGAGGCATTTAATTTTTGCCTAAAGTCATCTGGCTGAAATCCATATTTGGTAGTTGGAATGTGTTTTTGCACTTTGAGTACTTATTTGTCCAGGGAGGGCAAGCTTAGCTTCTTCATGTTGGGAGTCTTTTAGCATGCCGGAAGATTGTTTTGGATACTGGTAGAAAATCACAAAACACAGATACTAAAACGAGTGTTACAACTAGTTAAGCCAAAGTGAATTTAGTTGATGATAATTGGGAGCTCTAAAGAATTTTATCAATATCCTTCAAGGATCACCTTTGTCAGTATACTTACCTTATCATATTCATGTGTTATTGCTGCAGTGTCATAATGGGCACACTATCTGTTCAACATGTAAAGCCAGAGTGCACAACCGATGTCCCACTTGTAGACAGGAGCTTGGTGATATCAGATGTTTAGCATTGGAAAAGGTGGCTGAATCACTTGAGCTACCTTGCAAATTTGGGTCTCTTGGATGTCCTGAGATATTTCCTTATTACAGTAAGCTGAAACATGAGGCAGCCTGTAATTTTAGACCATACAACTGCCCCTATGCTGGGTCAGAGTGTGCAGCTGTTGGTGATATTCCTTATTTGGTTACTCATTTGAGAGATGATCACAAGGTAGACATGCACTCTGGATGCACTTTTAACCATCGCTATGTCAAATCTAATCCCCGAGAAGTGGAAAATGCTACGTGGATGTTAACAGTAAGTTGAATATCTTCTATTTATTTTCAAGTTAAAGTACGCTCTGTCCTAATAGTTTTTCAATTTAAATTTGCCCAAAAGAGGATTCTGACTAAAAAATTCATGTATTGTGCTAATGTTTTTCCTTCTGGAACTGTTCCAAGTCTAGTTATACTAAATTAGACTGATCCTTTCCGTCACGTTTTCCAGGT